ACGGTGGGTGACCCAGCGTTGTAGCTTGGTGCACACTCAGGCACGTCTACCAACAAAGTTCTGTTCCTGATGTGACTTTCAGAAATGATGATACAGGTCCACCATAAAAATTTACTGAAGAGTAAAAAAGAAAACCAAGCAAATGTGGCTACTATTGCCATCATTATTGCCTCATTGTTTAAAACTGAAGAACTTGGAAGTACTAACACCTTGTACTACAGTCTTTTGGTATTCTCTAACACGTTCCTAAGTCTTATTGGAATTTGGTTGCTTATGTCAGTGTTTCCTAAATTCATTTTCAATGCTATATAGCTAAATAGGCTTAGAAAACTGATTATATACACAATAAATACATTGAAAACCTAAAGTTCCTTCCCTGCAAAACGTTTCAGAGTGTCTGCTATGATAACATGCATTGCAAATCTAAGGTAGAATAAAGTAACATGGCATACTCCAAAAGCATTTGATGGAAGAATATCTTTCCCCTGGCAGCATCAGTTTTGAAAGTGCTGATATAATCTGCCACTTTATTCCCTTTTCTAATGTTCTAAATATCTATAATGTACAAACTTCTCCCATTTCTAGGTGGCTGTCTCACAGTTCATAATTTTGTTGCTTAATATTGATGCTAGTGCCATAGGCAAATCCCTTAACTTTCTTAAATCTGATTCTCAAGCCATGAAATGTGCTTGTAAATTTGGTTGAAATTTGTGATTATAGTATATCTATATCTGATGTTGTTAAGGGGTGTTAAATTTCAAAAAAGTTAGTTAAATTCTCATGTTATTAGTGTTTGAGGGCTAAAGAAACTAAAATAACTACTTGAATTTATTACTTCTACGGAAGTCTTAACAATTATTTTGTTAAATAAAATAGTTGAACTCCATATTATTTTGTTGATCTTAATCATTGATGAATATGCATTTAATTTGTCTAGTTCGTTATAGTTTTTACACTTAACACTGCATTACAGAAAAGAAGTTCTACACTAAATAAAAGGTCTAACTTTTGCCTCTAATTTGTGTTCTTTCAGTGGTTATTCAACCTCTCTAACCTTTATTTTCCATCTTTTAAAAACAATATGAATAGAATAAATAAACCCTTTAGGACTTTCCGAAAATAACATCTAGTGATCATTGGATTTCCCACACATTGTCTTTCGTATTCCTCAAATAAATGGTACTAATGGTCATTTGCTTTATGTTCATATTCATTATTTTAAATATGGTGATACATACTGCTTAAGAATGTAGAGCATATTCCACAGCATATTCCAACTGAGATGGAAAAATGCACAAATGATGTAAAAATAAACTTATCAAAAAAAAAAAAAAGAATATAGGGCCTATGAAGGAATTATCCTATGAATTGTTACAGATTCATATAGATATTATACTATTTTAGTAAACATCATCAGACGTACATTTCCATGACTGATAATTGTAGATGAGCTTTCCTAGGAGTTGTTGGTTTGCACAGAAATTTTCTAAGATATTTTTCTCTTTTCCCTTTCTTAAAACCATTTCTCTCACATGCAAATATTAATAAATGTTCACTTTAATAGCTCACACTGTTTTCTTTCACCTCTCCCACACTTCCCATCTTCTCTTTTTTTTCTATCATCTTTTTAATATGCATATTATTTAGCAATTTATTACGTGTATTGTTTTCCAAATCATTTTCTCATTGGAATGTAAACTTTTTAAGTTTTGTTTCTTCACTGATGTATCCTTATCAACTAGAATCGTGCCTGACAGTAGGCACTCAATAAATATTTGATTGCGTGACTAATGCTTAGAAGTGATGTTTACTTTTTAAAAGTTTTACCTTTAATTTTATTTTCAACAAATACAAGTATTAATATTTCTCTGTACTTTTTCATGTTATATTATAATCCCTACATCACAAATGGCAATTTTATAATCTTACTTATATTTTCATCTATTTTATACTCTACAGAGTAGTAAAAATTCTCAAAGAACATTTAAATTATATATGAATGTATATCTTGGTAAAGGGAGTGATGAAGTAGATTTCAAAAATCATTCAATCAGTAAAAAAATGATCACTGCTAGAAAAACTTTGTCTTAGGTATTCATTTAATATTTTAACTAACCTATCACTTTGGCTTTCTTGGAGCCAATGTTGAACTCATTTGTCTCTTTGAAATATGGTTAGATAAAAATCATATAGTGACCAAGGTTAGAGGTATTAAAAAATGAGGAATAAGAACAATTTGCATGTGTTTATGTGTGATTGCCATAGATGACTGATCATGTAAGACATGATCACTTCTTTCCCCGTCTTTGGACAGTGGGTAAATCAACCTCAACAAATATTGGGAAAGAATGACGCAAAGGGCATGATGTCTGCGTTTGCGTGGGCTGTCTAGTTTTGGCTTAGCTGAGTAGAGTTTATGTTATGTTCTAGTCTGCTACTCACTTTTATTCCAGTTAGGAGAAATTCCTGGGCATTATAGTAACACCTAGCCTATAAAAGTATAATCAAATAAGTAGTTTGAAGGGAAAAAAGTAACTTTCTTTTGGGAGCAGAAAGTCACACTGGGCCTTCTTACACTAAGCAGTAGTCACAGTGTCCATTCCAAAGCAACTTCAATTACCTGTGGTAGAAAAATGTCCAAAAACACAGAAGTAATAAAAAAAAAATAACTAGTTCCCAAGACCACAGCAATTACTTAACCACAGTATTCAGAATAATTTAACCACATTAGAATCTGTAGCCAGTGGTAAGTACTGAAAGCAACTCAGCATCTAAGATGCACACAAGGCACTAAAGAAACATCTCCGCTTGTCCTTTTACGTTTGGTTCCTGAAAGCTCTATGAGCAGATCTGCACGCAGGCCCTGCGTTCGTCATGACTGGTCTAGCAGGCCAGGCTCTCTGTTGCAGAATTTAACCCACTTGGCTTCTTTTTCAGAATTCCCCTCCCCCAGACTTATTGAAGTTTAATCAACAAATAAAATTGAAGACATTCAAAGTTTATAATGTGATGACTTGTTATAAATATTGACTCTTTACATAATTTCTTTAACACTTTCTACTCTGTTCTTAATTAGTATTTGAATATTTGAAGATAAATGTTGTAAACTCAAAAATGGACTCTCTTAAATATACTAAAGTAGAATAAAATAAAATCTTGTTGTAATAGCCCATAGTGCAAACACTAATCTTTTTTTCTTTTTAATTTCTTAACAAGGTGGTGGAATATTTCTTGGAAACTATTTTCACATACAGATCAGGAATAAATTGTAGCCTTATCACACTCTTCCTCCAATGGTTTTTTTCATTAATTTATTCAGTCACCCATTGAAAAACTTTTATTTCTTTTTAAGTTCATTGGTTATTACTCAACTTATACAATTAAGTAAGATTTTTCCTTAAGAGTTTTCTTAAAATATTATTTTCTTTTAATTCTGGAAGACAGGTTTTTTTTTTTTTTAAGGATTTAAAACTTAAAGCCTTGTTCCTAAAGATTTATGGCTGTTTATATAGGCCAAAATCAAATATCTGAAAAGGCTTCTTTAATATCTAATCCTGTCACCTCCTCATTGTTGAGGAACTGAGGTACCCAGAAAAATTACACTACCCAAGATAGTGTGAAAGTGGGAATTAGATCCAGGTCGCCTAATGCCAGTTAGATTTCCTGTCATCATAATTTAAAGCCAGATATATGGGAATTTTTGAGTATTATTGTGATGTTCTTAGTTGGGTATTAGCCATGTGAATCTTATTCTTGTGGACTCACATCTGTGGTCTCACATTCAGCTAGGTGCTTTTTCTTGTCTTGAGTTCCCAACTTTATGTCATGGAAAAGGGTTATTTCTAAACAAAGCAGTAAATTCCTCAGGTGCTATTTATTTCTCTGCTTCAAACCTTAGAGGTAGTAAGTGTAGTTGAAAGTAAATAAGCAAGTTTATTTTTTTTTCATTTATATTAAAAGGAAATTGTTTTTTGGTCTTACCTTATTTTGAGAATGTGTATTATGACCTTTTAGTGTTAATTAGTAATAATTACTTGATTAATAATAATTAGAATAACTGATTTGAGTATAATTTGAAAATTTGTTTATTTCCAGGAAGACTGGTACAGTTGGTATGCTAATAACTATATACATAGTTACATACATGTAAATGACATATATATATGTAAATCAGAGCAAAGAAGTTTTCTCATGTCCATAAATAAGTTCTTTAAAAATTACCTTTTGAAAATTACTTTTTATGTTTAGATCCTTTGAAGTGTGTCTTTGCTTATTTTTTGTACTAAAGTTATGTACTAGTAGTATGTATATTTAACTTAAAATGAGATAGATAGATATATGCATATATTTCTTAGAAATCCTAAACTTTTTTCTCATCTTGTCTGTATTATTTTCTCTCTTATCCACTGGTAGTTAAAGCATGTCTTAAATACTAATTTTTAATCTATTATTGTGCTTTTCCTTTTGGGTTATAGGTTCACACTCTTTTGATGTTATTTTCAAGTGTTCTTTACTAAAAGGGATTCTCTGCCTATCAGTCCACTTTGTATAAGTTGAGAAGGTGACTTTTTAAGACCAGTTCTGTGTAATCCATTCTTCATAATGAATAAGCAGCTTTCATTTTATTTATATTAAATACCTTTTTAATTTCCCATATGATTAGTATTCTCTACTATGTTGATATTTTGAATATGGGATCATGATTTTCAGGTTAATGTGACGTGGTTGTTAACATTTTACACTTTAAGCTAGCAACTAACTTATGAGATGACTATACAATTACGTGTAACAGGTAACACAGCAGTTTTCTTTGACAGTACAGTTTGTGTAGACAGATGCCATACTTTGTCCAAAGAAAATTGCACATTCAGTATGTTATCTAAGTGATCAATTTGTAGTTTATTGAACAGAATATCATAATAAATATTTTTTTTTTTTTACTTTTTGCCTTTCTTAATTTTATATTGTTTAATATCGGTGTTTTTTTGTTTTTTTTGCAGGTTTTCTTTAGGCGATGCTAGGCGTCCTCTTCATGAAACAGCAGTTTTGGTAGAAGATGTGGTACATACTCAGTTAGTTAATCTGGTAAGAACATATATAAACTCTTTTGATGTTTCTTATCTGCATTCTGATTATAATGGGGTTGCAGCTCACACTTTTTTTTTTTAAAAGATTGTTGTATTTATATTTGGAGTTCTTTCTGTCAGTGTTACTGAAATGAAATAACATGTAAACAAAATTTCACTAGTTTAAATATGTAATTCAGTGAACTTCAGTGTTCAAGTAATACCTGAATATTGTTGGGTGACTACCTGTGTAATCATGAAATAGAATGTTTCTATTGAACATTTCTATTGCCCCCCCCGCCCTGTTATCAGTGATTTTATGGTGACCTTTGACCTTCTTCTAACCCTAATAAGATTTCTATCACTGTAACGTTATTGTTTTTTCAGAACTTTTTAAAAAACTCTTGTATTTTAAATGTTATACTTCAGGAAGTTTGTATAAGAATTCCTAGATACCCTTTAGCTTCCTCTGTTAGTATTCTCTAACCATTTTGCAGTTATCAAAATCAGGAATCACGATTCTACAATACTATTAATAAACTTTTCACTTGACAGTATTTTTCTGACTCCATATTCTATGACCTTCTCTCCTTTGTCTCTGTAGCTCCATGTATCCTCTCCTTGTCTTGGACCTTTGGAAACTTTACTATTATGTTTCTTGTTGTAGTTTTCTCCCATTGTGGTGGTTTGCTTTCTTATAGCTTCTTATATGTCTATTTTCATTTCTTTCTTCATGCTTCAGAAGTTCTCTTCAATTATCTCCTTGAATAGGAGTTTCTTGAAGCTCCTGAAGGAGTTGTCTCTCCTCACTTTCTGGGATTCCTATAGCTCTTATATTTCCTTTCTTCATGGTGTCAGATAGTTTTTGAAGTGTTTCTTCATTATTTTTCCTTTGAACTTCTCTTTCTTTTTTATTGTTATTTTTATGCCTATTTTCAAGAGTACCAATTTATTTTTCCATTTCTTCTATTCTGTTTTCATGGTTTTTTTTCCCCAAAATTTCTGAGCTCCTCCACTAATTCTGGTTATCTTCCAGTTCTTGCATTTTCTTCCTTAGCCTTTTCTTTTAGCTCTTTGTTTTCAATATGACCTTTTGAGTTCTTTAATTGCTAGATGGAGATAATCCCTCCATGTCCATATTATTGGGTTCTGGAGGTTGACTTTCTTTCTGTGGTATATTGTTCCCAGAAGGCCTGCTTGATTATTTATAGCCCTCTTTCTTCCCATTGTTAGCCTTCAGCTTTGCTCTGTTTGTAGTGCCCCTGTACTGCTGGTGCTGGTGTGCATGACTTTTATTTTCTCTTGCTGAAGCATGCATGTGTCTGCCTAGTGTCTGAGTCACTGTGGTTGGGTACACATACATGCAGACACTCTTCTCTTATGTTAGGTGTTGTTTTCAGCTGTGATTTGCTCCAGGAGCCCATGATTTTCTGGTTTCCAATATGTAGGATGGGATCCAACTCCTCAGCCTGTGGTAGTCGATAATCTTGTGAGGAGCACTGCACCTCCAGATACACGCTGAGGCCAAGTTCACTAGGAGGTGCCTGCAGGCTGGATGGGATGTATTTTTCTGTTGAATTCCTTGCTCTCTTTCGGCTTGTCTCAGAAGAATACTGAGATTTAAAGAGAATAAGGAAGGGGAGGAGATTGAGGCAAATATATCGAAATGTAAAAGGAATGAAGGTGAGAGAAGAAAGAAGGGGCAGCTAGAAAAGGGGAAGAGAAAGGAGGAGGAAAAGAAGGGAATGTAACAAACAGAAGAGAAAATAGCAATGGCAGTGTTAAAGGAGAGAAAGAAGAAAAATAGAAGAATCAGAAAACAGAAATAGGAAAAGCAGAAAGGAACAGCAACCAACCAACTGACCAATAAACAAACAAATGGGGAAAGAATTGCTTTTCAGGACTCTGATGGCTCCCAGTGAGATAGTTGTTGCTGTTTTAGTCTTGTCTGCTGGGGAGCACCACAGGGCTCCCCAATATGTTCCCAGGGCTAGCTAGCTCCTTTGTAGGTGTTGAGGGAGGATGGGGGGGGGGAGCACACAAAATTGAATTGCAGCCATCGGTGTGGAAAGATTAGCACTCTTTCTGGACTTGTATGGTAGCTGGGTGAGTGATGGGGCACCTGAGGCCTCTTTCCTCCAGTGTAGGATGATGAGCCCTACAAGGCTCCCTCTGGTGTCTTTCCAGTTAAATGGTCCTGCTGGCCTCCAGAAGGGGGAAAGGGAGGAAGCACCATAACAAAGGGGTGACCAGCATTGTGTGCTTGCATAGAGACCCCATTTGCCCAACTATAACTGCTAGAGCAGTGATGTCTCAGGATTCTTTGGGTATCTGTTCTCCAAAATTTTTCTCATTTTCTGCTTGCCAACATAGGGCAACTTTGTGTGTACCAGGTAAGAAAAGGGTTCTGATGAATTTCTCCCTTCCCTTACCCTGTTATTCCAATTTTTCTATATGTTTGGGTCAGTCACCAGAGTCACCCACTTTGTCCAGTGCATCCAGGGCCTTTAGGAACTCACCGATATTTCTCCCTATCATTTGTTTTTATGAGCCAACTTGATACTGGTGTCTCTTTGTGATTTTAATAACTTTTGTAGACATTTTATTTTAATGTGAGATGCAAAAACTCCAGGGCTGGAGCAGGAAGCCTGGTAATAGTTCTTTGTAAACTAATTTTTTTTTCATCAATATGTAAGCATTATTTTTCCCTGTATCTTTCATTGTATGGTTTTAATTATATGTGTGTTGTACTATTTGTTAGCACTTCATAAATCTCTTAGAGACTTTACATATTTCTTCAAACATTTTCCCCTGTATCTTGGCTTAGATTATGCCTAGGATTTATCTTTATGTTAACTGATTCTTCTGTAATCTTTAATATATTTGTTCATGGATTTTACTTCTCATTTTTGTCATAGTATTTTCCACTATATTATTTGAAAATACATCCTTTTTGATTACTATATGCTTTTTTGAATTAATGATAAATGTTAAAATTTTCAAAATAGATTTGGATCAATATTGAATAATGATAATTATAATAGCATAAATGAGAAATAGCTATGTCTTTACTGTTAATGAGAGAGAGCCTCTTCTTATACTCTTTGCTTCTCTCTCCTTACCCATATAATTGTTTTCATATTTGCTTGTAAGGCAGATCCTATCCATATCCTACAAAAGTGTAAAGTTCAGTGACAGACCATGCCAAGGGGAGAGCTTTTTTTTCTCTTTGTCATGTCCAGGCATGTCAAAGTGAGCTCTTCAGAGGCTAGGGGAAATCATAGAAAAATTGTTAAACAAAGAAAAGTTTTTTCTTAGCATTGACTATTATGCAGCTATTACAAATTGTATTTGTTTATACATGACATTTCTATTTTTTAGTATACTAGTAAGATACTATTAAGACCAGTTTTATTTTTTTATTCTTCTTCCTTCAAGTATATATTTACATCAAATATATTTGATATATAATGCTGTGGAATTCTGATATATGAGATGATTTTATAATTTTTATATTGTGAAATTATAAGTAACACATCATTTACTGTATTTATGCTTGTAAATTTTCTGCTTTTCCTTTTGTTTTTGATTTCTAATTCCATACTACAGGTGTTTTAAAAGAATGTACTTGATATGCTGTACATCTACACACTGGGCTTGTTTCCTGGTAGGTTCCTCTGCCAGCTGCCAGTAGGACTGAGAGGTACTAGAGTCAAGTTTTAGGACCCTCAGAATCTACAGATGGAGCAAGTTTAGCAGACTTATATCCACAGGTTTTCAGATCACAACTCTGAGTGTTAGAACCTGTTCATAGGCTACTTCAGGGTCCACTGGGGAAGAGCTCTGTGTCACCATTTCCCAAAGCATGGGTGGGTGTGACTCCTCCTAGGCTCTCTGTGCTATGCTGCTGATGACAGGTGGTAGGACTCAGGGAAACAATACTGTAACCTAGTCATTGGGAGTACAGAGCTGTTTCTGGGTCTCTGTGCCTGTTACTATATTGAATTTATCAGCTATCTGGTATAGAATTGTGTTTTCAAAACAACTCTTAGTTATGGATTCCACTGAAAGTTTGTAATCTCTTTGTTGAATCCCAAAGCACATAAAAGGGATTTTTGTTCAAGGATGACAGTTTAATTATTTTTGCTGAGAGTGAATACAAGTGTGGGATGTCTTATTCAGCCATCTTCCTAATGTTACTTCCTTCCTTTAGTTCTTTGAATTTTATTTATAATAATTTGTTTGGTCTTTTGTCTTCTAAATTCAATATTTGACCATGTTGAAATGTTTTTCTTATTACCTCTTTTTACTCACTTATCTTTTAATTTCTTAGCATGTCTAGTAATTTTTGTTTTAAATGTGGCTATTATAGATAACATACTATTGTGATTCTTCTGAAGATTTTTTTTCTTATGTATTTGATAGAAATGGAAGCTCTGCTTTTTTCTGAAGCAGCTCACATCTTCTGAGTTCTTTCAAGTTCCTGCCACAGGTTTTTTTGACTTGTCCTCTACTATGCCTTCCATTAGCTGTACATTTTGGTGTCTGTCAGAATTTAAGCTAGTCAAAGGAGAGGAAAATAGTAGGAATATTTTAAATGTTAATACTTTATTAGAAAATAATAACTTTTAAAATTACTAGGTTTTTTTTTTTTTTAATTTGAAATGTATTGTTTTAGTTGTTCAGATATCTGGGTTTTATAACCACTACCACCATAGTCAAGACTCAGAACAGTCCCATCAGTTCCCCCAGATTTTGCCATCTATATTCGAACATTCCCTGCCCCAACTTTATTTCTCGTTGAGGCCACAATTCTTTGGAGCATTTCCAGCAGGTTTGTCTTGTAGCTTTTGTTATATATCAGATAGACAGACCAGATTCACTTAATTTTTGTACTCAGGGTAAGAGTTACTAGTGCCAAATAGAAATCATAAAATTTACCATCAGATGTTTGTATTTTGAGTTATGATTTCCTTTTCAAGTCTGTCTGCTAGTATTTATTCATCAGAGTTCTCAGAC